GATGAACTAATAAACACAAAATAAAGGAAAACAAAACCCTGTCCAAACTAATGTGGACCTTTCTGAAAAAGTAATTGCACCTAAAACTTCTTTTTGTCTTGGCGGAACTATCCTATGCATGCCACTTTCACCCAGTGTCATTGGAGCCTGCCACAGCAATGCAGAGGAGATGCAATGCCTAGAAGGCACCTATTTTTCTTCACCTCAAAATAACTGCCACTTCCTTTCACCGTGTATGTGGTCCAAATGGCACAGTGCACCCATATATCAAAATGTGCGGCTCGATCCTGTTAAGGGTGCTGATACTTCTCTTGGCATTTCAAGTAACCATGGTGACGTAATTCATGAAAAAACGAGTCAAAAACAAATCAAAACAAACACAGTCTAACTGAAAAGAAAAAAAAAATCTGAATTCTGTCTGGTTTTTTTTAGATGAGATTTAGTTTGATGAGATTTAGAGATGCCCCTAAATCTCATCAAACTGAGATTTAGGGGCATCTCATCTTAGTTTGATGCCCATAACTGAGAGACATAATTGACTTTCAATAAAAGACCAACACACCAAACGGGTTTTGAGTGTCAGGCGTGTCTGGTTTACATTCAAAGTCTATGTGGAAGTGCGTGTTGCGGCGTGTCATGAGCATGTAGCGCTGCATCATTTGGCCCATTTGGAGCGTCTGACATTCCTCATAAACTTTGAATGTAAACTAAATGCGCTTGATGCTAAAAACCTTTTTGGTGTGAATGCACCAAAAGTGCACACGTGTTCATTTTGAAGCATCAGACAAGTCTTTCACACACGTGAACACACCATTAGAGCTATGAAGATGCCATCTTGGTGGAACACTTACTGAAGGTCAGAGCTATGACGGCGCCATCTTAGCAGAAAACTAACAGCGGGCATAATGGCAGAAGACCAAAGTAAATTCAATATAACCCATAAAACTTGATGCCCCTAAACTAAGAGACACAATGGACTTTCAATATAAGACCAACACATACCCTACAAAATGAGAGCCTTAATATTTTAAACAGCAGTTAATTACTATCTTGGGCTTCATAAGACTCATACTGACCCTTTGTATGTGACGACACATTCTCCAGAACTCCTGCCACTCCACCATGATGAACATCAAAACAACCCTAACTCCTTTAAAGCCAGTCTAAAACCAGACACCTAATATTGCTTTTATTTAGTTGATTTCACTTTAAAAATGGTGATAGGGTGCTACACGAATGGCTGCACAAACAAGGATGCAAACCATACTTGTCATTTTATTTTATAGCTTTTAATGAGGAAAGATAAGGCGGTGATGGATAGCAGCCATTAATCATAATGACTCGCAACTGTCAATAATAATGACTGGCAGCCCTCAGCGTAATCACGGAGTTGCAGTGAACACGTTTTATAAGGTAAAAAGACTAACATTCATAGATTTATAAGTATATGAGACATATCAAATATCTCATTATGGAAAAGCTATGCGTCTAACCATTAATGACCATAGAAACAGTGCCGCACCGTCATGAAACCTAACACAGGGTTTCCCCCACTGTGTTATAGGCCTGGCGGCCGCCATGCTTTCTTGTTTATGTTTTTAGGAAACTTTTAAAAATTTACGTGCTCGCATCCACCTGAATAATATGTAGTTGCGACCCTGACTGCAGGAATTGTCATGATCCATGTTTCTGTGTATTTATATTAAGGTTTTTTTGTGTTCAGTTTCTGTCCTGTGAGTCTCTGTTGTTTCTGCGTCTTCCCCGTTGATTGATCCCAGCTGTGTCTCGTTGCTGTGATTACCCTCCCAGTGTATTTAGTCCCACTTGTTGTCTTTGTCTCTTGTCGGGTCCTTGCCGTGTCGTATGTCGAATGTCATTTGTCTGCCTGCTATCACAGTCATACTGTAAAGTCCTGTGTTGGTTTAGCTCTCTTATTCAGTCCTCGGTTTTTCAGTTGCTACCGGTAATTAGCTGTGCGCTAACTCTCTGCCATGCCGCCTGTTTCTGGACTGTTGTTGAGCTTTCTTCATTAAATCCATCATCATCTTCATCACAACCTGGGTCTCCGCGTTAATCCTCACCACCTCACAATCACAGGAATAACTTGTAGTCGCGCTTTCAGAGGTGCGTTGAGCGAGCAACACACCTCTGAAAGCAATTTGTTGCAATTTGTCTATAAATGTAAATATGATTTATATTTGTAGGCAAAGATTTTTGAGCGGCTTTTCCATCTCTGAAAAGCAGACATCGGCTCTGTCTGCGCTGATGAAGTTTATGCATGTGGTCCCAGTGGGTCAGAGCGTTAGTGGTTAACGAACCAGCGCTAACCTCATGCAGGTTCAGCCCGGTGAGGAGATTTCACGCTCACTTCATAGTCCGCGCTTCATGCTGGTTTTATATTATTTTCTAATTATTTTTATATTATTTTTCCGGTTACACAATGCATCAAACTGCATCAAATGCTTTGTCCATTTAGTCAGACAGAGTTAATGTGCGCGGC